AGTTTTTAATTTTTATTTTTCATTATTTTATATATAAATATTTAATTTATTTATATTAAATAAAAAAATCCGAAGTTTTCTTTTGAATCGGTCGAAACATCGCACCAAACCAAAAAAGACTCTAAAAACGAATATAACAACATTGATATAAACAGCATAAATTTTTCACCTTAAAAATAAAAAATTATGAATATATTTTGTCTCGAGGGAAAGGATGCTTTTGAGGGAGTCCTTTCCCCCTGGACAGCCTCTTTTTAGTGCTTGCTATTCTAGGAAACAAGTGGTTAGTGTAGAAGCTACGAGAGTACTTTCCCAGCCTTCGTATTGCTCTATGTATTTTCATGAGAGAGCGGCTTCATACATATTTCGGTGCAAAGGCGCTTTCTCAAGATGATGGGAAATGGTGAACAAACTTTCCCAGGGACCGTAGAAAGCGCTTTCACAAGAAACAAACACATGCCCAAAAAATTCTCTTAAGAAAAAGGACCTTACAGCATGATCATTAGTATGCATGCTATATGAATGCTACCTATTATGCTTCCACCGTCTGTTAGCCATTACATTGGACATGAATACTAGATCATTGGTAAAATGGCAATCAGCATAATTATCTAAGACTACTGTCAAAAAAAAAAAAATGAAAAAAAGGAAAAAAAAAAAAATGATTGAAAATTGAGTAACCCCATAGTTATCTAATTGATAAAAAAACAGATCATATATTTCAAGACCATTTCCATTTGACACAAAGTGACAATCACTATTAGTTATCAAATATAGAATAGTAAATGGTCATGTATACTTTATGTAAAGTAAAAATAAAACACTTAATGACATGTAGAGCTCATCATGCACATTATTTTAAGTGTTCAGAGTATAGATGCTCAAATTCCATTAAATAATAAGGGAAGAGTTGCCTTCTTGGAGTAACTCACTTAGGTGCAATTAAAATCTATTTAAATGCCACAAAGTTAGGCATGAATCAAATACCATCCCTGAAAAGGACTTACCCATTAAGAGGTACAATATTGACATTATTCTTTTACTTTTTCAATTTAATAATCATTTTCCTGATTAACATTAAAGCGAAAATATCCATTGAGAATTTATTCACCTTCCTTTAAAGAAGTTTACTATTTGGGTAAGCTTTCTATAATGGAGTAATCGACACACTTAAGAAAAACAAATCAAAGTTGAACTCTTTGGTTGGGAAATGAGAGAACTTATGGAATACATTCCTAAAAGAAAAAAGTTGGGGCAAATGACATTTCTAATGCTTGCTCCCAAACAATAATTTCTTTTTAGTATTAGAAAACCTGATTACTTATCTTATGATTTAGGGAATGTCATGAGAATAATGAATCATGGAATGATGTCATAGCAAAATGGTTTAAGATAATAGCTAAAGTGTCCCAAGATTCTCCAATGCAACCTTCACATCCAAATTCAACAAACATCTCTCTCTTTTCTTTTTCTTTTTCTTTTTTTAATGCTCTCTCTCCCTCTCAAAATAGCCCTACAACCTTCAACATCTAAATTTTATGAGACTCTATCTATGTCTCTCCCATGTCTATTTTCATGTGCACAGGCACACGTGTGAATGCTACTGTTGTCTCCTCCCACTTTTATAACTACTCACTGACACGATGGATTTTTCGATTGGATGACCAAAAAATACAAGAAATTAAGATTTTTCTTTTTCCAGTTTGGCCATCTAGCCCTCTAGACTTTTTTTTCTCTTCCTTTACTTCATGAGGTTGTGTAATTGCCTTATGGCAGGATTGCAAATAATGTGTTGCAATTTTTTTTTTTTTTTATCTTCTATTAATGAAAACTATGTAGAGGCCTTTTCTTTTATTGACTTACCCAAAAAAAAAAAACTCAAAATTTTCGAATACTTTAACTTTTTGCTGCCTAAAGTCAATAGGAGGTTTCTTTTTTGTTTGAAAATTATAGTTTCCATAACAGACAAACTTCCAATTGTTGGCCAATTATGTCATTTTTTTTTTTTCTTTTCACCACAATTTAGCTCTATTAGTATTGTTTTCACAACTTAATAAGGTTTCTCTTCTCGGGTGCGGTTTGTATAGAGCCTAGGCTCTTAATAATCAAATTAGGGCCTACTTTCAAATAGTGTCGAGAAATATGGTTTCAATACTGAAAATATTTTTTATAGCAATTTTCATTTTTATTTATAAAGTTTAAAGCTTAAAAAATAATGTAGATTGAGAGATCTATGAAAACTTGAAAATTGACGGTCGAAAAATGTGTTACAAAATACACTATTTTCAAAAGTTAAAATCTTTTTTTTTCTCATGTCCATGTATCTTGATGTTGAGATGATCAATTTAAAGATATTTGAGCATCAAAACAACCTCTTCTGGTTAAATTTTTTAGGTAGGCTCAATTTTGATTGTTTGGAGCCTCGCTCTATATAAACTTTTCTCTTCTCGTATTGGAGGGGGTTTATAATTCCTGATTCTTAATCATGTCCTAGAAAAAACTAAGCATTTTCTCAAACTAGTTTATCATAAAGTGCATCTTTAAGAAGAGTACGTATATCATACTCCTGCATAAGTACATTGTACACTTGTTCCAACGGGAAAAAGAGTATTTACGAGGGATTTTATGTAATTTATGAACCACTAAAGAATCGTGAGATGAGTATACTTAAATAATTAAAAAAGAAGAAGAAAGGAGTTTAAATTCCTAAACACTTATGTTGTTCAAAAGGTGGATAATATTCAATCATAGGACGTTATTCTTCATGCACATACATTTTTTTTTATTTTTTTATTTTTAGGTTGGTTGCTAGGTCGATGAGATTACCTCTTGAAATCCTAAAAATACTCTTAAATACTCTTAAAATACTCTTAAATAGGATTGTCTCATTATATACAATCCCATGAGAAAATTGAATATTCGATTCTAGCCAGTGGTTAGGGTGGCAATGGACAAGGAGGCATGACCCTAAAAAATTAAGGCCAGGGCCACAAAATATGGCCAGAGGGCTAGGCCTGGGCTAGGGCATATTTGGCCCTGTTAGGGCCGAGCCAGGCCTATGCTGGCCCTATACAGATATGGGCCGGGCTAAGGCCAAGGCTGGCCCAACTCGGGCTCGTTGACGGACCTACTTGTGGTCTTAGAGTTTAGACTGGACAAGGGTGAGCAGTGATTCTCTAGCAAGAGGAGCCCACATTGTGTGATCCCCAGTGAAATGGGCACAAAGCAAGCATGATATAAAAGATGGTGGTCGGGTGATGGGAGCTACTCCTTGTTCCCCCAAATTCTTCCTCTAACTTTACATTGAAAGGGAGCAAAAAAAGCTGAAGTGCCCAAAAAATAAAGGATGGTTGTTGTGGCTCATATTTGTCTCTTGAGGATTAAATATCGGATTCTAATGTATCATTGGAATCCTTTGTGGCAAAGAATATGAGCTGTACACTCTTCCATTGCCACCTTTGCTTATCTTGTGGTCTACATGTCTAAATTCACAAGAAATTAGTGAGACTGAATTCTTTAAAGGAAATAGTTTATATAAGATCTCAACCTTATACTGTACGAGTAAGGTGCACCTAAAAAACCCACTGAAGGCTTTTTTATGCTGGAAAATCTTCAAGTCGATCATTTCGACCTCGAAATTCATAGACGTTGAAAAAGATGATTTTTAGTCTCAAAAATAGGTTCATCTTCTAATACATTATCTGGACTGTCAATTTTCAAATGTTTATAGATCTGCTTCATCATCACCATTTCTAGAACTTTAAATTTCATAATTGGGAGCAACAATAGATTTTCATACTATCTCAAAGCTTTATGGCACCGACCGAAACTTCATTTTCAGCATAGTTTTGAGGTGCACCTTATTTCAATAGTGTAAGGTTGACACCTTATACAAAGCTCACCCTTCTTTAAAAGTTTTTTTTGGGTCTGTGAATGATCTTGGTCTGGGGAAGTTTCAATGAGGTCCAAGTGGTCCAGCTAAACTTAGAGGAATTTTAGAGAGAGTGACAAGATGGGCCAAGAGGAAGACTTTGCCTAAAGAAGTCTTTCACCCCAATTGGGTGTGTTGTCCTATTCATAGGACCTCTTGGCTTGGAGAAAGAGGGGCAAAGGAGCAAGGGATGACCATTTTGTTGGGAAAAAGATGAAATAGGTGCCCTCAAGGCATACATAAAATCTACTATGTCTGTGGGGTTGAGGAGATTTCTTCCTCTAGGTGATGAAGGACCACCCGAGACATGCACATTTTTCGAGTTTGTCTTGACCTAATTTGTTATAGGTCAGTGTCTTTAGATACTCCTTACCTACTTCTAAAGGCTTCAATCCTATAGGGACGTTTTTCTTTCATTCTAGAGAGATATGCCTCTTGTTTGCATTATGCATAACTTTTTAAACATGATTATGTGGGTACACATCAAAGATTAGCACCAAATCCTTTTTAGTGTCCTTGTGGAATACAACTTCGTCATAATCTTATAAAAATAACTTTTGAAGGTACAAATGGTTTGAAAAAAAGCAACTTCACTTTGCCAAAAATACTCTCTCTCTCTCTCTCTCTACCAATTGATGAAATGCAGTCTCTCTCTCTCTCTCCCTCTCAATTGATGAAATATGGTTCTCTATCTCTCTACTCTACTCAATTGATGAAATGTGGTTCTCTCTGTACTCAATTGATGAAATCCTTCTCTCTCTCTCTCTCTCCATACCCCAAAGCTGATTCTTTCTTCTTTCGACATATTCCAAGTGGGACAAAGCTGATGAATTTATTCTTGCCAATCTAGTCCCTCACGGCTTGTACGTGCGGGACCTCCTCCCACCATAACTGGATAAAATGTTTGCATCCGAGGATCCAAAAGCGGCCTCATGGGATCCCACCATCACAATGAACCTTCCTTTCTCACCCACCCCTTTGAATTGGGCAAATTACATTTTTAATCCAAAACTCTCATATATATATGGCACCCCATCAACCCTCAACTCTCATTCATCATCTCTTCCAACCCCAAAACCAACAAATCCTCCTCCCTTCCTCTCCATTCATTTCCTTCACTTGCATCTCTCTCTTCATCAACCTCATAACGTTTTCTCTCTCCTTACCTTAAAGCACCACATTAGTCACTCTCCCCCCCCTCTCTCTCTCTCTCTCTCATACATAGAACACACCCCTCTCTCCATCTCTTTCTCTCTCTAAAATGTCAGGAGTGTGGACATTCAATAATGGGGTGGTCCGGCTAGTGTCACCCGGCAGTGACTCGTTGGATGGTTCGGACGCGATGGGAGCGAGGCGCAAAGTGCTGGTGCATGTGGCGACAGGGGAGGTGGTGACCTCGTATGCATCACTGGAGAGCATGCTCACCAGCCTTGGGTGGGAGAGGTACTATGAGAACCCTGACCTCCTCCAGTTCCACAAGCGCTCCTCTGTGCACCTCATCTCCTTGCCTAGGGAGTTCAGCCGCTTCAGGTCCATGCATATGTATGATATCGTCGTCAAAACTCGAAGCGTGTTCGAAGTCAGGGACATGTGAACTCTCTCTCCGCCACTCTCCTCTCAGTCATCTTATCTCACCCTTTTGAAAAGTGGATTTTTTCTGTCGTGAGAAAAAAAAAATGTTGCTTTAGAGCTGATGATAGATGTGTACGAGAGAGAGAGAGAGTAAGAGAGCAGATTGATGCGTCGATGGTAGGATTTATAGAGCCTTGGGGGGTGCAAGGTGCTAACTTCAAAGGCAGGTGTGTGGATTGTGTTTCTCTCTCTAACATGAGATTGAATTGTGTGTGTGTTTTATTTTTCTTGTTTTTTTTCTTTGTTTCAGTCCCTTGTACTTGTAACTTATAATTTCGACGTGAATGCAATTATTTAGTGTTGTTCCCATGCTGAATTTTGTATATCTTCGTAACATTCCATCAAATCCCTTTTGATGACGTGCTCTCAACTGTAGAGAGAGAAGAGTTCGATTCCATGACGTGCTTTCCAGTTTAGAGAGAGAAACAAGCTGTCAAGTCTAAAGAGAGAAATAACGAGTGGCTGTTTGAGGTACATTTACGCCCTCACCCTCGGTTATGTGCCAAGAGGCCAATACTTTTGTACTCTATCCTTCTCTTTTAAAAAAACTAAAAATAAATTACATATGGATACTTTGAGAGGGAAGGGGGGGGGGGTTCAATTATCAAATGGGCGTTCGTTCGTTTGAAATTACGAGCATCATCCCTGCGATATTTTTTTTTTAGGTTATCTCTTGTTCGGCAATAAAAACACTGGACATGGGGGGTTCAATTATCAAATGGGCACTCATTTATTTGAAATTACGAGCATCATCCCTGCGGCATTTTTTTTCTGAGTTATTTCTTGGTCAGCAATAAAAATACTAGACAGAAGAAGGCTCTAATTTCTTTGAAAAGTGAAAGAGCAATCAGAAATTCGAGTCCACAGACGTATCTTACTCTAAAAAAAGCAAGTAAGATTTGACATTGACTCTAAATTAGCGCCATGTGAAATCCTACATGCCAAGTGGAGAAGTATGAGCTCTTGTTAGGGGCTGATGTGGCATAATCCTCAAAATAATTATTTTTAAGATTTGAAATTTGTTTTGTTTCTATAATTGGCAGGATTTAGATGACTAATTGATATTTTTTGGTAGTGAGTTTGAAGCGAGTGACCGATGCCGTATATGAACAACATTTTCGTTCACTAATGCCAACATATTATATGCTGAGAAACTTATGAAAAACAAAGAAATTGTTTTTTTTTTTTCGGAACATAAAGAATTATGCCAAAATATTATATGCTCCGGCAGGTGCATATCGTGTAAAGAGGGAGGTGCTGAGTAAGGGGATGACCTCACCCTATATTTATTTCATTTGGTCGGGAAAACAGGAAGCATGTCCAGGGATTCATCAAGGGAACTAAACTCAAGTCCAGTTTCTAATTTCTAGAATATTCATCAAGGTGAATTATTAGGTTGGTTAACAGGGTGAGGTTTGCACAAGGTGTTTTTCAAGTAATATTAAAGCTCTAAAATTAGTGTAGATCGAGTGGGTTTAAAAATATTTAGATTTTTTAAAAATAAATGGTTGAGACAATGTATTACAAGATGTATTATTTTTAAAATTTAAAATTATTATTTTTTTATATCCATATATCTCCTGATCGAGATGATCATGTTAAAAAATTTCGACCTTGGAACAACCTTTTGGGATGAATTTTTGTGGTGCACTTTTTCTCTGTAAAATTGACACCCTATGTCAATTTTTCCTAATTCCATGGATTTGAGGGTGAGGTAGGTCACGTGGAAGGAGAATCGTGAATGCCACGTGTCATGTTGTATCTGGTCAGCAGCTTTTTGGGACCAATGAGTTGTGGATTTGTCTCCTGTGGGTTCCACATGATAAGTGATACTCTGGCTTCGTTTGCAACCGTGAGGACCACCCTTTTTATTTATTTATTTTTAGGTAATTCTATTTCCAGAAATTCCAATATCTCCTCTCAATTATCTAATTGGAATATTTGGTTGCCCCGGGTGACCAAATTGTAGATTTGGTCCCAAGACAAAACACGCGAACTTAGACGAGAGAGACTGATTCACCTTCATTGGGTAGGCGCTACAGGCTTTCTGTTTGACGACAGCTGCTCAACTCTTGGATCATAAAGCCCAACTTCAATTAATTCTTTTTTAAATTGATCATAAAGCCAAATAATTTAGGTCATAAGGCTCCCCAGAATGCCCCTAATAGGTCTGTTACCTGTGAGACCAAATATACATTATACCACGCAGGACCACCATATTCACACCTATCCTAAGTTCCCCATACCCTGTTGCTTTGATCTTTCCCAACTGTCATAAATTTCCATGAGTCCTCTACTGGTATACGATAGTGTCTTTTTTTTTTTTTCCTGTTTTTACTCAATACCTCCATACTATAAATTTCCTTGATTGCCAGTTGTTCAATGTCCAATTGTAATTTTTGAGTCTCATCTATTTCTTTGGTTACTTGTGAATGGACATTTAAACTTTTTTTTTTTCTTTTTGGTAATTTAGTGGGGAATATATGCACCTACATGTTTTTAAATAGTTAGATTTTTTTAAAAATATCAGTGGAATTGGAAAGCATGATATACGAGTAAGGCATAAGGGGTACTACCACTTTGACTCAGTGCCTTTTCTAACATCTAACCCTTTAAAACGATTTAGAATGAAAGCTTCAACTTTCAAATGAAGAAATTTTTAAATCCATATAATTTTGTTGAATTTAGTTGAGTTTCCATACGTGTTGATGAACTTAATTGAGTTTCCATTAGGGGTTGATGAATGGTGGGAATCAACCGTATTTCTTTTTTTTTTTAATAGAAGCTCAATGTGTAAAGGACTTTTTATCCATAATAGAAATGAAACTCAAGACGTTACGTAATGGTGCATCACCATCTGACCATCGAACTTTGAACCCATTCCTGACCACCATCCATATTATAATTATGAAATGGCTAGTTTTCTTACGAGACCCTTTCTTTGATTGGTACGAAATTAGGTCTCTTTTCTGTCATGCTTCCAATGTTATGGATCGTATGACTTTACATTTTATATAGTTCTACATTGAGACTTTCTTGTAAATAAAGAATTTGTCAGTCGCTTCGTCATGTAATGGTCTAGGCCGAACAACCTATCGCAGACATAAACAGTTTACCTTTCCAGCTTACCCCAATAGCCTTGGTCCAAATATTACAAGAACACTATTCAAAACATTTGACTATACCGGTATTTTTTTATACATGAGCATCAATTAGTATCTTAAAACCAGATTTACTACCAAAAGAGTTTTGGAAAATATGTAACCAAACTTTTCAGGCTGCTAATAGAGAAAAATTTACCATAAACCAGATTAGCAAACTCATTTTGATAAATTTTTTTTCAAAACTAGTTATCCAACACAAACTATTAGGATCATATTTACCCAATAAAGAACTTTTACCTGGATTTGATGTTTGACACCAAGTAAAACTTCAATGGACCTCCAAAGGACTATACTATAGGAACCTAACCCTACCTTGGATAGCTTGTATAGATCAACCTCACTCCCTGGAAACCATTTAACAAAAAATCTTATCAGACTGCTGTGTCAATTCCCACTTCGAATTTCTCAAAAAATGTACCAACCCACTTTGGAGAAACCAGAATTTTTATGTTAAATTGCCTTTTAAGAAAAATAAGGACATAAATCCCACAAAGGCTTCGCACAGAGGTTTAAATCCAGATCTTTTGGAACAAGCTAAATTAAAAATACAAGATCTGATAAAGGAATAGTATCTAAAGATACATTGCAAATTGTTCATATATATATATATATACACATTTTGGCCCGTTTTCAGCGTAATATATTATGTCTTATCACATTTATGAAAGTAAAAAGATAAAAAACAAAATCTAACCCATGATTCTGGTTGTCCAAATTGGCTAGATTAAATCTGGACTATCTGACTTTTACTGTTCAATAGGCCAAGAAGCTCATATCAATTTCTTTTCTATTTTTTTGTTTAGATCTACTCAAGCACCAACTTATGCTCATTCTTTAGGAAATAACTTATGTATGAAAAATGGCTCTTACCTGATATAAATAGATATAAATAGGGGTGGCAACAGGCTGGACCTGAACCTTGATCTAGACCCAAAATTTAAAATATCTATATGTTTAATTATTTAAATAGATTTCATATATTGAGACCCAAAAAATATTATTGGACCTAGATTCGATCGGACCCGAATCTATTTGGACCTAGACCCGGACCCCAATAGTGTTCAGGTCCAAAATTTGGACTCATACCCAAATCCAAATCGGATCGGGTCCAGGTCCCCTAGATATAAAAACGTGGGCTAAAAGCTTGGTAGTAAGCCAAACATCTGACACACTAGCTCCCAATCTAGAAGGCTGAGTTCTATATGGGCATGGGATCATGGGCATTCAGAATATATTGAGTTGGCCCTTATCCATCACGTTTCTATGAAAGGGGCTTCGAACCCTGTTTTTTCTTTCTTTGGACAAGATTAAGCCCATGCCTAAATGGTGGTCCCTTACAGTGGCTTGTCTTGTTCATCGAGGACAAAGCTCATCTCTTCAAATTTTGTCGCACGTGTGACACCATTAGATTTGGCACGTAGCACTCGAGATGGGTCATGGAGTATACATGCATGTGTGGTCCCGTATGGACAAATATTATGATTTTCTTCTTTCGTTTATATTAGTTTTATGGAAATGCAAAATTTATTTCATATTTACCAAAAATATATCTTTTGCATTGTCCTTGGCCTTTTTAAATTTATATATATTCCATCATCATCATCATTAAAACCTTTTTCCATCTAATTGGAGTTGGCTACACGAATCATAATCCGCCATTTTCTTATTTCCAACCATGTCTTTTGGGCATATCCTTTGTCATTTTCAAGCCTTCCACTTGAACTACTTCGCACATCCTAACAGGTGTTGTATTAAGTTTGCACTATGCATAACGAACCCACCTAAGTCTCATCTCTCTTATCTTATTGCCTATTGGTGCAACATCTAAATTTACTGGATGTACTCATTTCGAATTCATTTCCTTCTTGTCACTTATATGAATATTCAAAATAAAAAATAAAAAGAACTTATAAAAGGGATAGGAAAATGTCTTTATTGTTATTAAATCTATGTTTTTTAGCCTTTTACAATTATATTGGGATTAAATATTTAAATGCCCCCAGATGTTTTTTGTAAATTTGGCCTAGAATATCTTAGTCCCTCAAGAATATTCTTTGCTTGGATATTTCATATTTGAATAAATAAAACATGTCTATTTGTTTTCCTTTATTAAGAGGGTAGAGGGCCTCAAATGGAGCCCCACTA